TCTATCTCTAGATACATAATTAAGAAACGACCTTTTATCTTGTGAACTATTGAAATTTTCAAAGATATAAGCGCACCCTGACATTACACTCATCGAATCCTTTCGTTGAGTACCGAAATCAATTTTTCATATAATTATATATATGTATGTATGAAAAATATATCAAAAATGCATGTGGGCACTCAACTGAAAGCTCTTGATGAGTGTAACATCGGGATGAGCTTATATCTTAAAAAATGTCAATAGTTCACAAGATACAAGGTCATTTCTTAATTAGGTACCTAGAGATAGAGGATTTTCGAATGCAGCCTAAATACTTATTATCATAAATTGACTATTGGTGAGAACGATATGAAACCTTGAATTTAACCATACAAACCCATTGTATGATGAAAAAACACGGGCCACAAAATTTTGCTTATTCTCTTAATAATACAGAACAGAGAATCAGAAAATTGTTTTCAAAGGTTCGGTCATAATTCGAATCCAAATTAGTAATAGAGATTCAAAACGATTTTAGAAAATTAAAAACAATTCGACTACTTTGTAGATAACCATATAGATATAGACCATAGAGATTTGTAGATTAACATATAAATTGTTTTTGTTAACAAGCAACCATAGAGAAAGTAACAAATTCGTTATAGAATTATAACAAAAATTCATTATATTTCTGATTCCCAACATATTACACAGAGCTACCCTGATAACCAGCGCTTTCTTAGAAAGTAGTTGACTTCCCACAGTTACGGTTAACTTAACATCATAACATCAAGTTTGCGGTAAGTCTTCATTGAAGACTCATAACAGTTTAAGCAAATTGACAAAACCCTTCAGCCGCAGTTTAAATGCAAGTTAACAATCAAATTTGTAGTTGAATTTCCTTTCAACTTTCCTACAACTTGCATCTTCCGGTTAAGGTGGATAGGGTAAACTTTCAAATTATTCCAACGAAATCTAACTTACAAGTCTTAGAAAATTTCCCTAGATGTCGCCACGTGCAACGCGTCAAAATAATACTGCCTTATCATCATCAGCTGTTTCAAAAATTCGGTCGATAAAAATAACCTCTTTATCTTTATATTATTTTTATTTTTTGTTTTCATATATTACAAACCCGAAATTCTAACCAATCCCCCTCCCCCCACTTATGCCAACATGTATTTAATTACCAATTAAACATTGTTTACATTATTGTTTCTATAAACAAAATTTATGTTAGCAGACGTCTAAAAATTTTTGATTTTTTTTATTAATTAAATTACAGCTAAAAAAATATTTATAAAAAATTGCACTTATAGTTTTTCAAGTTTTTTACAGGTGACAATTTTTTTTTTAATTGTTTAATTGAAATTTTTTAAACAAAAATTTTTAAATGTCGGCAAACTTTATTTTCATCAAAATTCCTATTTTTTTTAATTAAAAATTTTTTAATGACAATCATTACAGAAAATGTTAATATGTTTCAAGGTAAAAAATCTTCTTACAAAAAATAATCAATGCAAGAAAATTTTTTCACTAAAAAATATTAAACAATAATTTAAAAAAAAAAAAAAAAAAGTAACTTACCATTGTGACCAGGATTGCTCGATGATTGACCCATGACTCAAACAATTGTTAACTTATTATTATAATTATTATTATTATTATTAATAATTAAAATTTAAACAATGTTATTCTTATTCTAAAAAAACTCCCCGAGGTAATTTGTTTCTTATTAATAAATTATTAAAATTTATCAACAAATTAATTTTTATATTATATGTGAACAATTATTAGATAAAAAAAATGCAATCACTGTTAATTGATAATTGATAAATTTTTTTAAAAATTGACTAAGTTATTATCGTCACTTCACTTTATTTGTTGGTTAATTTTTATTTAAAATATACTATTGTTACTGTTACTATTACTATAACTATTACCATTAAATTTATGTAAAAATTAGTTAATATGCGTCAGTTAATAAAAAATATAGTAACAAGTTTATAATATAATAACAGTTATGTAAAAAAAAACAAAAACAACAAAATTACATTGTCAATTGACCGGAGTCTTGCGACAACGGATTAATATGGACGGTCTTTATGTATATTTTCATTTATCTCACTATATACCACTACCTACTACCTTAAGAGATATCCTACGGTCCGAATTGGCAGGCGCGAATTTATGGCGCGAAAATTTAAAACTGCGAGAATTTTGCAAATGGATTGATGAAAATTAAGTTAGCCGACATCTAAAAATTTTTTATTGAAGAAATGATTAGAAAAAAATAAAAAAAAAATTTTCAAAAACTTTAAAAACTGTAAGTGCAATTTTTTAAAAATATTTTATTGTTGTAATTTAATTTAAAAAAATAAATCAAAAAATTAAAAATTTCGGCTAACTTTATTATTATATTGGATTGATTATTAAATTTTTTTTTATATTAAATTGATATTTTTATGATCATATATTATTATTATTATCTAGTAATTAATTTTTTTTAAAGTAAATTATTATAATCTTAATACTAAATTTTTTTTTACAGTTGTAAAAAATGCGGGAATTTTTTTTTTTTAAATTTCATCAAATTTTAGTATTGAAATTTTTTTAATAAATAGTTAAAAATAAAAAATTTTGTATATTATACATTTATTAAATTTTGTGACTTTTCATAAAATTACACAAAATTTTATAGGACACAAATTTTTATAAATTTTTCTTCCGGATAGTTTGTAATTTTATCAATACTCTTTATATGTAATATAGAATGTAATATACTATAATAAAATTCACCTACATTTGCAGACATTCTTCAGCGATTGTTACCACGGCAACAATTAATCACAACAAAGTAAAATTTGCATATCACGAAAGTTTATTGCACTGCGCGTTTTAAGTTTTAAAATAACAATTTATTGACAAAAATTAATAAAAATGTTTGTAATTACCTCTAATAATTCTCTTAAATCACAAAAATTGATCACATTGAAATAATATGACCTACATTGTGAAGTTTATTTATTTTTCGTTTACCGTTTTTGTATGTTTACATCAAAGTAAGTATTTAAAATATCAAATAAAATTAAATTAACTCTACACAGAAAAAAAGGTTCAATTTTTTAAGATGAAAGAGTCGTTATTTACTATAATGACAGCTACTAATCACCTATTTTGGGTATTAAATTATAAATTGTGGCTTTTATACACGGAAAAAAAAGATGACACTGAACATCATCCCAGATTATACTTAGTGATATCTGTGGCGAAAAAAAATTTCAGATAGTAGCTAGAAAAATCCAGATTATAATATGTGATATCTGGATTACACTCGGTATAATCTGGGATGATATCCAGTGTCATCTGGTTCTTCCTGTGTACTTTCTACATTAAATTCTGTAATATTTATATTTTTGACACCCCGATGTCCGCTTTACTGTTTGAAACTATACAATTTAACCGGAATCTGAGTGAATATTACAGTATTATATACTTTTGTCCGTGGAAGAATAGAATTTCTCGAAAAATTTTAGCTTCGGCCAACACAACTTCGGTCTTCCTTCAGGCACTCGATAAATTTTCTTGAGCCAAGAATTTTGTTCTCCAGTCAATAAATTTATCTTTTTGTATAACAAAATTTTAATGAATTATTTTCTTAATAGCTTCTGCAATAGATTGCTTCAAATGCGTATCAATCGGTGGGAACAACAAAGAATGTGACGACCCTTTTCACAACAACGGAACAATTGGATACTTAGAATCTCCTTGTTTGAGCGGGCGAAAAGGCCGCGATGGTCTTTTTCCAGCAACTTCTTGTGTTAAACTTGCTGGATTTTACTGTAATTTTTTTATCTATTAAAATTAATCTGAATTACATTACCAACCATATTCTTTTAATTGCAGATGATACTGGGGTGTCGTTGACAGTGAGAACATGTGCGTTGGACAGTGGGACTCTGACAACCGATTCAGAATTGGTCAGAATGTCACATTGTGGAGGATTTTACTTTGATGATAAGTATGTTTTATTTCTTTCTAGCATTTTGTAAAAATTTAGTTTGATTTTTTTTTAGGTACGTTCGAGGGTGCGTGCAATCTTGTAACGATGTAGACGCATGTAATTCATCTTTCTCAATTACAGGAAGATATCTTACTTATTATCTAACAGTTATAATATTACAAGTTTTTTCATTATTATATTGTTAACATTATCTTCAATCATTTCATTTTTTCATTCGCTATAAATTATAATAATAATTATTATTATTATAAAAAATGATTAAAGCACTGCCTGGAATAAACTTTTTTGAAATTTACAATTAAAGTTGTTTTTAAGTTGCCTTATATTTTTTATTCGATTAATTTTATCCGATAAAATTCTCTATTTCCTCAATCAAATTTTGAGTTTTTTTTATGTATAATTAATTAATTAATTAATTAATTAATTAATGCTGGTAGAACTGTTGGAGTAATCTTACCAACAGACGATATAAGAAATCGTTAATCGGTAATTCAGGAATTGTAGCATGATTTATAATTTGCTATTTTCCCGGTGACTTACCGCTGGTAATACAGTTATCATGCACTTATTTCATTATTTATCCTATCAATCTATAACCCTGATAGCCACCTTATTAACTCAAACTTTTATTCAATCTACTGCCGAAATTTGTAGCCAATTTCAGTCAATAATTAATTTATTTGTACAATAATACATCCAAAGTATTACAAGTAACAATTTATTATCTTATCATAAAAGGCTTAACAATAACTTCGGTAGCTTCGCGCTGGTGTATTTGGCCAACTCCGACTGCCGGCGTTGCCAAAGCTTCGCGACCGCAGTATTTAGGCTAAAAAAATAAGAAAGTGATCAGTAATATTCTCAAAATGACAAAAACATGATTATTATTACCTTTATTCCACATAAATTTTCAAATCTTGGCTTGACAAAGCTCCAAGCTCCCATATTTTGCGGTTCTTCTTGGCTCCAAATGAAGTACTTAGCATTTCGATATTTCTTGAGTTCTTCATTGATCTCAACAATTGGAAAAGGACAAAGACTTTCCAATCTAATGATAGCTGCATTCTGCAGATCTATTGCTTCTCTTTGCTTCTCCAAGGCATAGTAATGCTTACCACTGACTAGTATGACCCTTTCTACCTTGGACGCATCGACCAAATCATCAGCAATGACATTCTTAAACTGGGTCCCAGGTCCCATTTCTTCCAACTTGGAGGTAGCTGATCTGAGTCGCAGTAAGCCCTTGGGCGCAACGACAACCAGCGGCTTTCTGAAATTTCTGATCATCTGCAAAATCAAAGTTGTTCAAATTTTACCCAATTCAGTGGAATTATTGAAGGAAGTTACCTGTCTGCGAAGAAGGTGGTAGTACTGAGCCGGTGTGGTTGGATTAACAACCTGCATATTAACATTGTCGCCATCAGGAAGGTGTTCCTTGCTGTCTGTCAACTGCAAGAACCTTTCTATGCGGCAAGAACTGTGCTCTGGACCCGCTCCGTCGTACCCGTGTGGCAGAAGCATCGTCAACCCACTGCTGGTCATCCACTTGGTCTCACCACTGCTAATGTAGGTATCTATCACTATTTGGGCGCCGTTGAAGAAATCACCGAATTGAGCTTCCCATACGGCTAATGTTGAAGGTGACGTTATGCTCAAGCCATACTCGTAGCCCAAGACTGCTTCTTCTGACAGGATGCTGTTTGCCAATTCTATCTGGCCAGTTTGACCTTCGGCCATATGATTCAGTGGAATGTGGATTTCTGAGTTGATCACCAAATGCGAATTATGAGCCATGGTCTTTTGGACTTTCCTATGTTGATTGTAAAAATAAACTTACCTCCTGTTGTTTGATCAAGAATCATAGCATGACGGTGCGAAAAGGTACCGCGGCCCACATCCTGACCGCTAATTCTAACATTGTAGCCTTGGTACAACAAACTTCCGAATGCTGCGGCCTCAGCTGTCGACCAGTCTAATGGCTCATTGTGATCTAGCTTTGATAGCCTCGCTTGTATGTGACTCTTTTGCAGGCCTGCATTTACATCCTAGCAAACAAAGGTAAGATTAATTTTATACCCATCAGAGAGGTGAAGGAATCAATATAAGAAATCAAACAGATGGATCACCACATCATCGTCTACAGTGACACTTTTGCGAATGATAAACTTCAGAAGATCCGAATTAACTCCAGTGTCCCAGGTAGTTAGCGTCGACTTGGCTTGTTCGAATCCAGCCCATCTGTGAGTGAAGTAAGTTACTGGAGGCACGAAGCTATCAGTCTGCTTGAACGCGTCGTTCAGCCAAGAAGTGTGCTTCTCAATGATATTGTCGCATTCTGCATTTTCCACAACACCAAGTGTCTCTAGTGTCTCTCTGTACTGCTCTGGAACCATTCTGGAACCAGATCAAGAATTAACTTCAGAAAAAGGATCTTTAATGCTGGATCACCACTGGATCACCAATTCATACCTTCGGCTTCTGATCAGTTTGTAGGTCAATGGGTTGGTGAACATAGGCTCGTCTAACTCGTTGTGACCCCACCGTCTGAAGCAGTTGATGTCAACGAAGACATCTTTGCGGAACTTACGTTGATAGTTAAAAGCAATTCGCGTCGCACGGACAACGTCTTCAGGGTGATCACCGTTGACATGTAACACTGGTGCAGAGATCATTTTCGCCAGATCTGTGCAGTAGCGAGTGGATCTGCCCCAATATACAGGGGTAGTGAACCCGATTTGATTGTTCACCACCATGTGGACAGTCCCACCAATTTCGAAATTAGGAACTGACGTCATGGCTAAGCTTTCTTGATTGACTCCTTGACCAGCGTATGCTGCGTCTCCGTGAACCTGTCCAAGAAAAAAATAAATTGTGCAATTGATTTTTAAGCCAATTTTGGACCAAACAGTTTTGTTTCCATGACACTAACCTGAAGATTAAGAGTCTTATCACTCCACTGTGAATTTGGATTACTGGAATATCCTCCTTCTTTAGTCTCTTGCATTACTGCGCGAGTTTTGCCCATAGAGACCGGGTTGACTATCTCCAAATGCGAAGGATTGTACAACATCGTGATGTGAAACTTCTTAGCGTCGATTTCCAAATCTACAGAGGACACAAAATGGCTTGCAACATCACCGCTCGCTACGGCATCTTCCGGAAACTCTGAGAGACCTCTTATCTTGCGAAAAAGCTGTTCTGGAGGAAACTTCAGCATCCCTGTCAATACATTGAATCTTCCGCGATGAGGCATTCCTAGTATTATATTCTCCAAGTTATTTTGAGCGGTCAGTCTGAAGAATTCGTGGAAGAATGCCATCATAGATTCAGAGCCTTCTCCACTGAATCGCTTGAAAGTCACGAATTTGGTGCCCAAAAAATTATCGAATGCTTGGCTCTTTAGCATTTCTTCAAGAATTTTTCTACGAGTCTTATCATCTAGCGTTGAGTTCTCAGAGCTTTCCATCTGTTCGGCGAACCATTCTCGCTCTTCTTGAGTCTGCATTCGTAAATGAAAAAATATTAAAAAAATTTTATACAATCATGATCATATCTCGATGTTTTTTTCCTGGTATTTTTTTTTCAGCGGTTTCTTCAATTTTACAATCATTGATCGATTAATTATCAATTACCTGAAGTCAATAAGGAAAGTCGTAATTTTTCATATTTTCCTCCAACGATTTTCCTACAACTCACCTGATAGAACGATACAGATTATCATCTATCGTTAAACATAGATTGATATCGATGTTATTTCCGACAATCAATAACAGAAATGATCGATTTTATATGATAAATGAAAATTATTTATAATTAATCAGATTTCCTTTTAAGATAAGTTAGAATTTCAAAGAAATTTTAATTTCTATCTATATATATTAATCTTTATTAATTTATTTTTATTTAATGTAAAAAAAATTTACTAATTTTATATTGCTGGGAAAAAATTTTTAAATATAGAAAAATATGATTTTATTAGGCTATATTAAGACATATGGCTTGATGAATCTATAACTCTAGTGGTGATAATCTCCGATAGATGGCAAATGACAAGTGAATGTTCTCCCTACTAGAGAGTGGAGTTTAAAGTGTTAAGGAGATCCACGCGAAGTAGTAAAATTTTTAAAACTTCCTGAAAATTTGTAAGCTCAATCTACGGAGAATAATTGATAAAAAAATTAAAAAACAGTAAGTTTCCGGAATATTTAATCAAATAATTAGGTTTGAAAATTGTAATTTTTACATGCAGGTAAATGGAGATTCACCAGCCGTGTATTTGGTTAAGAATTTAATGCAATTAACGATTTTTAAAAAATTTTATTTTCATTAAATGCTAGAAGATTTAGTTAGACAGTAAACATAAATAAATTTTAAGGTTAGGGAACTCTTGCGGTGTTGTCAAGTGTATACCGGTAATTCAGAGTGCTATATTTTTTATTAGTCAATTAAATGTTAATAATTATTTAATGAGTAAATTCATCGTAAATTTCCTCAAAAATGTTATTAATTAATTTAAAAATTAATTCTAAGATAACAAAAGTATTTCTATTATTTTTTATAGACATTCTTTACACTAGAAGGGTACTTGGATCTCCTTAAGAAGCTTATCAGATCAAATACACGGAAAGATCAAGATGACACTGGATATCATCCCAGATTATACTCAGTGATATCTGTGGTGGAAAAAAATTCAGATAGTAACTAAAAAATCCAGATTATACTGCGTGATATCTGGATTATACTCATTATAATCTGGATCATACTCATTGTAATCTGGATTATACTAGCTACTATCTGAAATTTTTTTTCACTCAGTATAATTTGGGATGATTTTCAGTGTCATCTTGTTTTTTCCGTGTACAAAGCCAAATATTAATTTTTTAGACCATAATTATAATTGTAAAAAATTCGATCGTGTTAATTAAAAATCCAACATGTTCTGAACTCTCAAGAGATAGTTCATTTGAAGTAGCCTTGTTATCAATAAAAAAAAAAAAAAAACATTATCTAAATCTTATAAGCAACTCACCTCGAGGTAATTGAACTCAGCACCAATGAAATTACAATAAATATTATTAAGAAATTCAACAGCTTCTCCAACAGTTCCCTCAACTTTGTTAGTGTTTAATATTCCGGTGAAACCCACAGTATCATTTAAGTCAAGGCCGTATCTCTTGGGATCTAATTCCGTTGAACTCAACGGCCTTGTCAACGCTATCGGATTAATGTTAGCCTGCTGGTGTCCATATTTTTTATATGCATTAACTAATCTATAAAAGTTACTAAATTTAATCCGAGCGGCTAATGAATTTTCCGAAACTAAAAATTGAACAATAAACGAGTATATTACATTATACTATTTAAGTAAGTAAGCTTCAGTGTATATTCATACTCACTTTCGAAATGTTTTATTTTTTTTTGTTTGCAGCCGTAAACAATATTTTTCCCATGATAATCACACTTTAGCTTTAAAAACAATTTTTTCCGCGGAGTAATAAAAGTTTTTACTCTTACACCACAGTACATTTTTTTTTTAGAAAATAAAATACTCGGAGAAAAAATTAACTAGCACTTAGCAAGACGCTCGTGGAAGTGACTGATGAATTTTTTGCATTAAACTCTGTCTTAATTTATTATCGCCATCTTTATCACGGTCAATATAGTACAGTACGATTCGAACTTTATGTTATCGAAAGATGCGATAGCACTTTTGAGGAAAAGTTATATTTCTTTCGGTGAATCCCCTCTTGGTTGTTAGAATCATGATTAAAATAAGGTCATTGTCCTTATTTTTATATTTAATCGAAATTATGAAGTAATACAATAAAAAATTGGGAAAATTATATAAAACAGCTGCAATAGAACCATACATAAGTCTTTTATTTTATTAATTGCAATTAAACGACACTTACATAGCCATTTGCAATAGGGGGCCTGCAATTCCTTCAAAGAATTAGAGAAAAAAAAATTTGACTCAATTAATAGATTTTTTGGCAAGCTACAGCGTTTACAAGTTTTGTATTTAACGGGCGGGAACATTTTTAAACTATTTTGATGTTTTTTTTCCGTTTCTATTGCACTAAATAAATTTTTTAAAAGTATGGAATTATTCTTCATTAAATAATCTTTCGTATGCAAAATATATCGATTTTGTTAACTAACAAGGGTGTAATAATAAAAATAGTTGCCGAAATAAGGCAAAAAAAAATTTTTTTTTATCGTAAAGCACTCTCTTTGCATTATGAGTCGTGCAAAAAAATTACAGGTTATAGTTATAGAAAAAAATTATTTTATTATTTCAAATATTTTACAGTAATTATTTATTTAATTATTTTACTCACAAAAAGAATTATTAATAAAGATACTGACATAGTTTTTAATAAAAGATAATTTTATTAAAAATAATTAATCTATAACTTGATTTCAGTTTTCATAAACTAACAAGTTCTGTACAAATGTCAACAATGGCACGGAATAAAGATTTTTTTTTTTTTTTACTATTATCAAACAAAATCATAATAACAATTCATAAGTCAAAAGACTTTTTGATTTCCGGGGAATTAATCAAAACTAATTGATTTTTTGTCTATACTCAGTTCATTTATCAATCAAAAATTATGAATTGTACAGTCAAATCGTTTTAATAACTTAACAATGACAGTGAAGTCCAAAAAAAGTTTGGAAAATCTTAAAGTGCACGTCTCATAACGTTTATTCATTGAAAAAAAAATTAAGTATTACTAACTTTTAAAATAAAAACACAGAAAAAAAATTTAACTTGTATCAAGAAAAATTTTTTAATCAAATAAAATTTACTTAAGCCAAAAAAGATTTCTTAGTTTAAGAATTTTTCTATTCAAATCAAGATAAAATTCTTCAAAAATATTTACTAGATTCAAGCAAATTCTTTTTCTATGCACGTAAATATAAATAATTAAATCAAAGCACTAGCTCAAACGCGTTTGCGTTATGAGGCGTGCAAAAAAATCCACAGCAAGTATCAATCGCTTGATGTTAATTTAGTTGCACTTTTCTTGATCTTTGGGTATCTTTTCTTTACGAAGTAACCGTTTTTCAATATTTCTGAAAGGACCTTCAATTACTAGTGCAATAACAAACGAAAAGAAGAACGACAACACTATATCAGGTATCAAGTCCGAAACCTGCAATTATTAAAAATGATCGTTTGTTTAATAAAATAAATTGACCTTGACGAGTCGAGTGTAAAGCACAACCTCACGCGCTTCGCGCTATGAGGTGGTGAATAGTAGATCAAATACAAATGAAAATGTTTTTAAAAGTTCAAATACAGATCAATAAGGTCAAATGCAGATCATTTAGCTTAAAATCAGTTTAAATTTTTCGACCCGGGTCGGCTGCTTCGCTTTTAAAATCTATAAATTATTTTTTGATTTAATTATTAAAAATTTTTCATACTTTCTTCCTTCCAATTATTTATAGTCGGTATTTGTTGATGTTTCGTTAAAATGTAAATGATAAAAACAAACATTTTTAAATAAATATTATTTACTGCAGTTGAGGAAATAAAAAAAAATTATTTTATAGGTTATGTTATAGGCATCAAACAGTTGATGAAAATAATAAATAAATTTATTTAACATTTATTTTGTGTTAAGATTGACACTTTAGAAGTGTATGATTCTTTGCGCCCTCTTGTGGCGATATTTCAACATAATCTTTGTGTTAAAAAGGGGTTACACAAAATTTGTGTTGAAATTTCAACACATATTTTGTGTCAACCATTTTTAACACACAAACTGTGTTGATTTTACACAATATTTTTTACTGTGTGTGCAATTTATCGTAGCAATAGTGACTTACCATATTGTGAATCGAGAAGACCTGCGCAATTCTTCTGACGCCGATGTCATAAACTTGGTTGATATTATGAACCAAAAATGCTCCGTAAGTCAGTTTGCTGATTGGTTGGGCCCAGCTTGGTTGATGGAATCCCTGGAGTCTCTCTAAAACATTCAACAATTTCAGTTTGTAAGTCTAGATATAGTGTTAAAAAGCTTAAAATTTGTTTACAATTATTTGAAGTTACCTAAACCTTCACCGACAGATAATACAATGGTTCCTAAAACCATTCCAAAGGCGAATCCAGGCCGACTTAAGCTTGCGTATAGAGCAGTCTCTAATTTTGATGGATGTGCATTTGGATTGTAGTATTTTAAGCCTAAATATAGAGATGAAACTGCTATGATCCAGCAGCATAAGTATAGTATATGCGACGTAACCTGCAAATATTAATAATCACATAAGTTATTTTTATAAGGAGGTTAGAGTGTAACTTATGAGTCAAAATAATGTTTAAATTTTTTTTTACTTTCAGTCTTCCCAATATTCGTCAAAATTCTTTGTCTTAATTTAAAATAATTTGACCAATTTAATAATTGATGATTTTTACTTATTTAATAAAATAAAGTAATAAAAATGACTTTGGTATTTATTAATTGCCGGATTAAGGAAATCCTTTCGCTCCAGTTGAGTCAAAACAATTGTAGTAGTCAATATACGATAAATTAAAATAAAAAACCCATAAAAATTCCTAAAATTAAATAATAAATAGTATATGAGGCATTAATCGTTGAAACTTTGAAAAAAAAAAAAAAAAAAAATAGTTAAATACAAAAATTAATTTGACTCTTTCAAAACAGCTGCAAGTAATCTGTCCGTGATTTGGCAACGCTGTACTTCGATTGTTTACATTTTCATTTGCACAATATAACCTTAACCACGTTTAAGTTTTTGCAGTCAGAGTAAATAAATAAATTAGTTTGAATTTATTGAATGGTCTGAAGCTCGCCCGCTACGCAACGTTGCCAAATGTTTTGACTCCATTTTAACGTAGATTACTTGAGAATTTTTTGTGATTTTAAAATATTAATTTCTCAATAAATATCTCGGTAACTGATATATTTTATTACAAAAAAAGAAACCTGAATATTTCGAAAATCTAATTTTTAGGTTTTTTTTACTTCATCTAATCCATGACTGATAATATAATTCGAGAAATACTGCAAACGCCTGACTTTCTCGTAAGACTGAACAAATACTAGCATTTAAAAATTTTATTTTTTCAAAAATTTGACCGGTAACGTACAATCTAAGCCTCACTATTCGAT